AGAGGGTAGATTTAGATTAGATACAAGGAAGAAATTTTTCACTATGAGGGTGGTGAGGCACTGGAACAGGTTGCCCAGAGAAGTTGTGGATGCTCCATCCCTGGAAGTGTTCAAGGCCAGGTTGGATGGGGCTTTGAACAACCTGGTCTAGTGGAAGGTGTCCCTGCCCATGGCAGGGGGGTTGGAACTAGATGGTCTTTAAGGTCCCTTCCAACCCAAACCATTCTGTGATTCTATGATCTCTGCAACTGGCACAGAAACAGCTAATACAAAAGTGATGACCACAAGAAAAATACTGTTGAGTTCGTAGATACTTATTTCGTTAAAATTATATATGTACTGAGATGATTCTGTTCCAATTCTTACATCACTGAGATCAGAATAGATGGCTTCCCCCTTGGTTCATCCATAAGTAAATATGCATTCTTCCCCACCATGTCATGATGTTTGGCTTATATTAGTGATGGTGAAGAGTAATTCCTGAAATATCACAAGATATACCAATATAGAAAGAGAACAAGTGTAATCAGAACAGAACCTGTTTGTTTTCCCCTACTTTTCAGTAGCATCAATGTTTTAGTTTTTGGTTCGAGTGTGTGGTTCCCCCCAATACACGTTGGATCATCTCTCTTTCTATTTTTCCAGGTACTGCTGGAAGAGAGCAGAAGAATGTGTTGCGCTCTGCATTGCTCAGGATCCGAAACGCAAGCAGCCTTATACCTAGCTCCTGTGCCAGTTGACTTTGATGATAACTAAGTTTTAACCTACTTGTCTTATCTTAATGATCTTTTAGTCAGAATGCCTGGAAATTTGAATAGTCTAACACAATAATTACACTGAATTAAGTGGAGTCAAGTGCTGTGCCCAATTAAAACTTTTTTTCCCCAAGTCATTAAAGTTTCAGGAAAATCTACAATCAGTATTTTTTAAAAAAACAAACAGAACAATAGTTCTTATCTGAAAGGAAGTGAGAACAGATCCAAGTAGCAGGATTTCTTATATAATAATATACATGATATTATCTAGAATAAGATAAAGTCTTTTCAAAAGCAAGTCTGCCGCAAGATGTAGAAAAGGAGATAGGACAGATACTGTTACACCTACTTAGGTAACAGTCTTCATTTCTTTGTCTCAGTTTTGTCATTTGTAATAAATTGGGTATAACGTTAGTTACCCAGCCCACAGTAGGGGAGCTTTAATCAGCAGTAGCTCACAGATCTTCTGAGATATTTGGCTAAAATGCCCTTTAAAAAACAAAACCAACCATCTGCTGCGCTGCTCGAGGATCTCAGTGCTTTGTGAAAGAGAGGAAGGTGCATTAGTAAAGGGGGAAGCAGGACCTGCAACAACATCAGGCGTTACTTAGATCACCACTGTACTTTGGGTAACTTATTTTCAGTTTACCAAATCCAACAATGCAGTATCAATCCCAGTTATCAGTAACATGGTACACATACTGTACTGGATGCTGTCTATGCACTGCACTGTCAAGAACATAGCACAGCAATATGACTAACACAGGAGCATCCAGGTCATGGATGTTCCTGTGCAGCAGAAATCTCAAGTCAAAGTAGCCTAAGAAGTGTGTTAGGGGACAAGGGAGCAGAAAAATTATTATAATCAGTTTCTACTAAATGCTGCTTCTTTTTGAACAATGAGGTTTCTTACAGAAATAACAAATGTCAAATTATCTTTTCCTGCTTTTATTCCAGGAACTCTCCAGAGGGGTTTTTTTGTTTGTTTTGGTCTTTTTGATTGGGTGTTTTTTGTGGTTTTTGTTCTTTTTTTTAAACACATAGTCCTTCACATTAACATCAGAAAACAGGTTGCTTAAATGTTTGCTATTATGTGTCTGAGAAAGCAAAAAGTTACCATTTCTTGATTTTTTTGTAATTCTAATTAAGTTCAGAAATATTTCTTTAATATACCTATCACCTACAAAGCTCATTAAACTGAGATGTCATATGTGTTTTATTCAAGTGTTTATTCTTCTGATGAGAAAGATTCAGATGGCTTGGCTTTAATCTATAACGTATTTAAGTTCACTAGCTTTTCTAGTAAAGCATACAGCAGAACTTTGCTACGTTCTCCTAATAACAGGGGACATAATTTGAGAAATTGAGCCCCATCCTTAAGGCTATTATGGGTGTGGGTTATCATGCATGAAAAGGAGGTATAACACTCCCTTTGAACAAGGGAGTCATTTATCTGATTATCACTGGTATTGGTGTGTCTGTGTGTCTGCAGAATTGCCTACTCCCTGAGTGAACATCTATGGCTGAGGGATCTAGGGTACCAAAGTGTTATATTTTCAGTCCACCGGTTTGGGGGTAAGCACTGCAGTGCTACTTATGGATTTACTTCACATCACAGAAATGTTTCTATATTTTACACTGAACGATAAGTGGATAAAGCATAGCAACACATAGAACAGCGTCCAGAATAATCAACAGCTCTTCATCCATCCAGAGGCACTGTGAGCTACAGAAATTTCAGAATAAAAATTAAGGCACCTCTGGATTAGATACCTCTTAGCTTTAGAGACATAAGGATTTAAAATAAAGCCTCCACTCAAACTATATTTGTGATGAAGTCCTATTATGACAACTTGTGATTGAACACCTGAATTCTACCAAAGTCCTGTGCTAGGTGCCTCAAATCAGAGCAAGAACCAGACCGGGAGCATTAAGCCAGAGCTCAGTCACCTGCCGTTCTGCCACTGCCCATGCTCAGAAACCAGGGCTGAGTAGGTCGTCAGTTAACTTCTTTTGAGGAGCTGCTGTCATCTAAAAATTAGGTAAGAGGTGTCCAGTCCCATAAGTATGCCTAAGAATCAGGATCAAACCAGTGTGAGAAGATTTCTAAAAAGGCCTAGATACCAAGTACTGGGAGAAGAGAATGTCATGTTCTAGTGTCTCTTTTGAGAATTGTTTCAGTTGTTCTGTTCCTCCCTGTCGTCCCCCCCCGGCCCCGCAAGTCAATAGTTATTTGGTAGCCAGAGCACAAATGAGAGCAGAGAGAGAACTTGTCATTTACTCCTTCCAAGGTGCTTAACCACTGTGATTTAGAAACCTGCAACTTCTCTTTTTCCAAATCTTCAAATAGTTCCAGAGGGCTCCCGATCAGTCAGAGAATCTTTTTCAGGTGCTTTATTCTTCCTCTGTATTATATATATTGTAAACTGTCCCAACAATGGTACTTCTATAATTAAATGCACCCACGCTCCTCTGCCTACGAGGAGGTTGGCCAGATGCAAGTTTGGTTCCTGGAGTCCTTTTAGCTGTTAGGCACTGTTTCTGTGTACGTGTGGTCAGCTCAGTAGATACTTTGGCACCAGAGTTGTTGGGACCACCACAGTCTGGGGACTCCAAAGCTGATCTTGCCTCATAAAGAAGGATTTCAGGCTCAGGTCAGTGGCAAAGGCTTAGTTAGGCATGTTGTCTGCAAAGGGCCCTAATGCACCCCTGTTGACGTGCATGTCCATGACAACACACCAGCACAAAACCATGTCCTATGCATATACGTGACTTTTTCTTTACAGCTCTTTCTATACAAGGTGCACCTGCACCCTGATTTGGGCAGCCATTTTCCATCTGAATCGTACAGATATTGTGTCACCTCATATTTAATACGCTTATTACATTTTGGCAGGATTGTGCTAACCTCATTATTACAGTCTTGCATAGACAGTCCATCTGTTGCTCACTGTTTCTCCAAGACTCAAAAGCAAAGCCTTTATACATATATACATTCTGAGCAACATTACAATAAAGCCTACACAGACCAGAAGCCATACCTGCACCATACTTCATAAATGAATTATTACCTTAAACACATGCAGGATTGTCCAGAACCACAAGCTGGGTTCGACTTGAAAGCTTAGAAAGGAGTTTGAGTCTACCTACAGGCATCCACAGAGAGTTATTCCAAGCCTGAATCTCACCTATCCTGGAAGTCAGCAGGAGCTTTCCCCTTCACTTCAAATGGGAAAGGGTGATGTGGCCCAGTCCTGCCAGTTGTTGAGTAAAGTATCAAGAGAACCTGTGGCTGTCCAGTGCCTTTAAAATGTTTAATCCTAATGAGAAAACTGGTAAGTTTTGTGGAGAGAAAGATAAAATGCTCCTTTTTAGCTATTGATATATTTTTATTTCTATTATAGCATTTAAATGGTATAATGAGTGATATAAGCATTATTATAATACTTCAAATTGAGCAAATAACTTGCACCTTACAATCAGTCTTTCAGTCCATGTAAATTAGCAATATAGATCAAAAATCTTTAAAGTAATAAGTGTCTCCTATTGCCACTAGGCTAGACAGGTCTGACCTGATAGGGTGCTTATGGTCTTATTTTGAGCTATGCTGACTTACATGAATTACGGAAATAAATTGATAGTGTCTCACTATATTCCTCCTTATTAAGTGTTGAAATATGAGATAATAACAAAAATATGTTGACTAGCAAGGTTACATTATACATCAGCACCAGTTCAAAACTAGTATTGCTTTAAGTAATCATAATACTTAAAAAAATAAATAGTGCTGGTACCGTAAATAAAGCTTAAGTCTTCACCAGCTGTTTCTACAATATTGAAATAAGACCTATAAAAAGCAACTTTATGCAAAACATGTATGTTTGTGGTTCTGAGACAACTACAAGAGGAAAACAATGACCCTCACAGGTCACGTAGTAAAGATATCACAGATCAACAACAGAGCTCAACGTTGTCCAATTTTTTTTTTTTTTTAAATAAGCAGAACAGTTTAAGGAAAGGTAATGTTCTAACGC